TAAGGGCAGCTAACCCAGTCGGATGGTCAAGCTAAGTGACTTGACTGATTGTGTATCATCATCACTGTTGGAAGGTGGTCATAATATCAATCACTAGAAAGGCTGGTCCACACTAATTTATCTACAGATTCGCAACAAAATATTGCTAAGCAGAGTATGCTGATGGCAGTGTAAAAAATAAACAAATGATAATAATCTTCATAACAAGCAGTCTTTAACATTCCCTTTTACTATGAGTGAGTGAGTTAATATTTAACGTCACATCGGCAATATTTCAGCCATATCGTGACGACCTTTTACTATGACAACTGAGAGCATATGTATAAATAGCTACACAGCCCAAAAGCCACAAAACATATACATGATCCTAGATATTCTAGACGTCAGTTGTTTCTTGCAATACTTACCATATCATGCATAGTCGTTATTACATTTACAACCCTTAGGAAGATGACAAACCCATCAAACACGCTGTGACATTATCTGGACAACCTAAAAGCCATCATATTCCATCGTTACCTTCTCATCTTCTTTCTCATCAGCAGACAAAAACATTATTCTGTCCCCATTATCTGCATCACAGCTTTGTATCATCAGGTGAACACAGGACAAGACAAAACAATCCCCATCTGTTCTAGCTTGTCGTCACCTTGACAGGTAAGCTCTGTCTGAATCAAGCTGACCTTCCTAACACACGGCATGTACATTTCAGTAGGTCGAGTGTCAATTACACATGAGACATCAGCCCAGTTAGACACGTCCCTCAGCCCGACAAGGAAACTCTGCACCTCTTGTTGAGTTAAATTAGGAAAGGAAAATTAAAAAGTGTCTTGAATGACGTAACTTTAGTACAGGTGTCAATTAAGGACTTTGTTAACACTTTGTTGTCCTGTAAAACCTTAATGCATGAAAGCAAGTTTTCTTTACCATCATAACAATATTAAGAACTTAGTGGTTGTCCAATTAATTGAAATAATCGAAGATTGGTCACAATGGCTAAACGACCAAGCAATCGGTCACGTTTTGTCATAATCGAACACAAACAATTCTGGAACACTTGTTTGCATTAACAATATTTATCACAAGGTTGGTTTTGAATGTTATATTTCATAAGCACTACAAGCTCGTTCCAAGTCGTGATTAAATTTATGTTGAAGACTCCAGGAAATTTATTTTCCCAACATACTAGTCATCCTTTAAAGACGTGAAATTTGCAAAAAACGAAACTATTTTTTGTGCATTAACAAACATAACCAGGACAATTTGATAAATGACACTATAATAACTATTAACTTTACGAGGAAATGTTTAGGTGTCATACAAGAACAGCGGGGTTTATACTCCATTCTCAAAGACTATTAAAAAAAGTGTAATCCTAAATAAAACATATACAAGTTAACCTGTACACATAACTCACAAATTATAACTGTCATTAAGAAAAATATATGCGTTATTATATAAACTCATGTTAACTGTGAACATATTCAAACCTTAAGATCATGTGTGAGATAAACTGAACAGTTGCTGAACACATCTTCCGTAGGGAAGACTACTGAACATTCCAAAACATAATGACCTACTCATAGGACATCCTACTCATAGGAACCCAGTAAGAGGCGACTAACGGGATCGGGTGGTCAGACTCGCTGACTTGGTTGACACATGTCATCGGCTCCCAATTGCGCAGATCGATGCTCATGCTGTTGATCTCTGGATTGTCTGGTCCAGACTTGATTACTTACAGACCGCTGCCATATAGCTGGAATATTGCTGAGTGCGGCGTAAAACTAAACTCACTCACTCACTCCTTCTCATAGTACATTCAGCCCACCATAGTCATCAGTACACATTCTGAATTAATCGAATCTGAGGCAATCGAGCTGGTATTTACGTATTGTCAAACACTGTGAAGAAATTGCAACAACTGCTGAGCAAAGGAGTTACCGGTGAGACTCCCACGCACTGTAAACACGTTGAACAGATGTGAATGCTTTTCACTATCATGAATGCCACACCATTAACAAGTTAAGTGCCAATAGTACTGTGCTGTATGATGCAATATCACGCATGTCACGCTGACAAACAGGTGAAGTAGCATGTACAGACACTGAACTGTAGACACTGGTCTGATCCAACACACCTGAAGATGATCAGCTCATGATGTTTATTATGCAGAACTTGTTATGATAATTAATAAAATAGTATTTTTAACTGAATGTATTTCTGTTTGTAAACGTCATATATACGAATAACAATGATACTATGCAAGAATTGGCAAGCATAACACTTTTCTGTATTACTGATACATGACATTTACAGTGTGAACACAAGGCAAATAATCTCTATTATAACATGTAACAACAAAACATTTATAAAATATCTGATGTTGATATGGGATACTTTACATCCACATGGGTTGGGTCATGATACCAAGTTTATCAGATCAATAATACTTTCTATTATTTGATAATTAGAATTGTCAAAGGAAGTACAGAAAAGAGTGAGTGAGTGAGTTGGGTTTTATGCCGCTTTTAGCAATATTCCAGCAACATCAAGGCGGGGGACACCAGAAATGGGCTTCACACATTGTACCCATGTGGAATCACTTTAACCACTAGGCTACCCCACCGCCCCCTACACAACAGAGGTAATGGAGGGTCAATAGACAATCGCCGTGACCACTAGATCAGTTCATACATGCAGTCATACTCATCATATAGTAATAACTTTTTGATCATTCTGTTTCCTAATACGCTGTGACAACTAGATCAGTTCATACATGCAGTCATACTCATCATATAATAATAACTTTTTGATCATTCTGTTTCCTAACACACCGTGACCACTAGATCAGTTCATACATGCAGTCATACTCATCATATAATAATAACTTTTGATCATTCTGTTTCCTAATACACTGTGACCACTAGATCAGTTCATACATGCAGTCATACTCATCATATAGTAATAACTTTTTGATCATTCTGTTTCCTAATACGCTGTGACCACTAGATCAGTTCATACATGCAGTCATACTCATCATATAATAATAACTTTTTGATCATTCTGTTTCCTAACACACCGTGACCACTAGATCAGTTCATACATGCAGTCATACTCATCATATAATAATAACTTTTGATCATTCTGTTTCCTAATACACTGTGACCACTAGATCAGTTCATACATGCAGTCATACTCATGCCATGTTAACAGTTGCTTCAGCAACATGGCAATGATATTAGTCGAGTCTTAACTAGACAATCCAGTACAATACCATCATTCAAGTCACCATGCTTAGCCATCAAGCTGTCTCTCATGACAAGGGTTGCTGGAGGCCAATTATAACCCAGAATCTATTGGGAGATTCAGCAGAGAATACATCACTTGTTTTAAATATAAACAACAAATACAACATGTACAAGTCTATATGAAAAAATGTACAAGTCTATATGAAAAAATGAGTTAAGTCAGCTGACCTTTAAAATCATGTTACATTATGTCATTTCCTTGTACATAGGTTGTAAACAACAGTTGATTATGCTGACTGTCTAACAAGCTCTACAACCTTGATGACAGTACAACCTCACCTAACAATCAACATGATCCAAACAAAGTAAACTTATATTGACAAATTTTGTGAAGTGGAGAAAAACAAACAATAATAAATTTACAAGATAATAATATTTACTTCTTATTTGCTTGTACATGCTGAATGCTGAATCTGCCATGTTGATTGATCACAAAAATAAAAAGATAAAATTTTACTTTAAACATTTCAAATGCCAGCAAACCCAAATGTCATTATCTAGCCTGGTTTCATGTTACTTTGAGACATCAAGCATTTAGGGGGACCTCATAAAAAGAATTAGAGCATATACGTTTTTGTGAATACATCAGTCTTAAGACACCAACTATACAAACTTATTTTTAACTTTATCATCTACTAAACGTAGACTAAAAAGAAATCTGCAGACAGGATGAAATGAAAAAGTGTGGTTTAAGTACATATGTAAAATCAATGCCGAGTCCCTACAGAAAGAACATATTTGTCTATTATCAAAAACATCACAGCTTCTCCTACCTTAAAAAATGTCATGTTGTATTTAGTAGGAAGGTCCAACAGCATTCACAAAATATACCTAACTGTGTCTTCTTTTCCAATCACATATTCTGTAATATCTCATCCACATAGTCCATAATGTTACAACCACACATTTCGTGATATCACAATCACATATTCTGTAATATCACAACCGCATATTCTGTAATATCACAATCGCATATTCCGTGATATCACAACCGACATATTCCGTGACATCACAACCACATATTCCGTAATATCACAACCACATATTCCGTAATATCACAACGCGATGATTGTGCTGATAATCACAAACTGAGAGGCAACAAACAACTTCCTGGCCAAGATCAATTGAAAATATTTTTTCCATGCGAGTAAACCAACAGCGTGCATCCACCATAATCCTCGAACACAGAATCACATCTCTTCTGTCTTCCTTCTCAGCAATATCACCATCTTCATATGGCAGTTTTACACTTGGACCTCAAAACACAAGAGTGACAACAAAACGCTGTCACTTTCACCTCAATATCCACACAGTCCTTGACACGGTGGTATTTACACAACACATGTTAATAGTGTTTCCTTCTTAATGCTGAACTCAGCTGTGAACTCCAAAACAACAAGAGCCATTTCAGGTCAAAGAGAGCAATAATTCACTGTTCCACCTTAAGTCAAGTCCTGACATCTGAGATTATTCAGATAATGTAGTAGATCGAGGTATGTCATACTCCACTTGTCAACACTGCCCTTTGGGCAATTTCAAAATTTGGTGATTTTGCTGAACATTTCTCATCTTCATGTGTAAAATACATTGCATGTGTTAAATATTTACTAAAATATCATAATTAGAATGCTTTTGGAGAAGAATCACAATTATTTACATGACATGAAAATCGAAAATGTACATTTCCAGATGACCAATGATTTGAGTGACAGATGGCTGACAGAAGGGTATTAACACTGGCCTGGGGTTGTCAATATCACCTTTAGTATAATGTGAACATCTATCAAGAGGGAACAAAACAACACATCACAAAGGTGAGTCTAATTTATATTCATTAAATAGCCATGCCATTAGCTGATTAGCATGAACTTGATGAAATCAACAATTTATCTTAAACTACCAATCTACAAAGACAGAATCAGATTCCCCTATGACTTGAGGTGGCTGTACCCATGTTGGAAGGTATTACATATATCGACATGTACAATGGAGATGCCAGCTGTGTTGGACATATGCCAAACTAAACCTGGTGGTTGCAATGTACGTCAAGGCTCGTCAATAACATATGGATGTTCCATAACAAACAACACAACACTGTGAATGTGATGTACCTCAATATCTAGTATTAGATAGCTAATTCTCTGGTATAGAGGTGTTCTGATGATCGAAAATAATCGAAAATTGATTGAAAGAAGGATTAAATATAATTATTGACTGTAAAAAACATATTTTCAATTAATCGGAATTTTGTTGTTTTAGTATAATCACTTAGGATGATCAGCCACAAAATACTACATGTGGTATATCTAGTCACAGACTTACCAAGTTAATCTAGACTTTGTCATCACCTTCTATGATGTGGTTTGGTAAATACTTAATATTTAAAGTTAGACACATTCAAATTTGGGGAACTAAACACCAACTATCCAGCCACAACCATGATAACTTGGAATCATTCCCTCTGTTTTATTTTGTAGTGTTTTTTGGTACATACCAGTCAGAGAACTGTGTTAATGCAAACGAGAACCTAATTACCAATATCTTAGATACTTTGCATTCCATTACACACAAAACTATTTTCTAAACAACTGGTTACTAAACAGGCTAAAAGAACCTGGGTTAATGACTGTGGATTAATTTACACTTGAAATATCATTATCATGTAATCAGCTGATCACATTAACATGAATAGTCATATAAACATACATAATTTAAATGTAATATGACATGTTTTAAAAATCATATTGTTCCAAATATACTAGAATACAAAACTAGATACACAGAACACAACATTCAACCTGGCTATTGTGAATTTGAAAAAAGACGAAATGAATGTCTCAAAAAGATTATTTTAACCCACTAAATGCCCTAACATAATCACTGGGGCTGCAGATCTGTAAGCCTGGTTAGAATTATACCGTCCATAAAACTATATTAAATTGGAAAATACAAAAGAATATTTGAAATAAATATCTTAAATTTCTGTAAATTGGGAATATGTAAGGACAGTTGAAGCGATGAGACTATATTATATTGAAAATGGGCCTACTGATGATAAAAAAACAATCTGAAAGTCAGCATCATGATTCATCATTACCAGACACTAACAAAAAATTATCTACACATCATCCTCCTTCACCAAGGACATGATGGACCAATCTAAACCTGAAAAACACAAGTCTTTTGCCAATAATAAGTTATCATTCTACCCATAAGGTTAAGATAATGGTAATTACAAAAGGGTAAAAACATCCCATAACCTTCAAACCTCGTTTCCCAATTTAAACACCTGTTTCACACCAACCTTGGTTAGATTATGAAGATGAGGTGTTTTCTCAACTACCATTACGCTTCTATCCAGTAAAAAAATCCACCATCTCTGTGTGCCGAAACCATGTCACCTCCGTCCTCACCACGCATATACATGTACGTACATCACCTATCATGTTTCTTACCAAGCCAGCAACACACTGCAGTCAAAGGGAGATAACTCTATCCACCACCACCCACATTTGAATGAACTATCAATAGAATTTGCCAGCTGACAATGATCGATAAACCTGCCTTTTCTTATTCAATGACACTGGGCCACATGCTGCAAGGAAGTGTCTGGAATGCGGGCTGCATGTGCACTCCAGCACGTACGTCTGGTGGGGATCCCCCTGGCTATTATAACGTGTGTTTGAATTGCTATCAATTTTATTTCCTTATATTATGCATATACATTTTTTTTTTTATACTAATTTTGTACAAATCATTGTGGATGCTTTAAAAGGCTTGTATAAATCTTGTAAGCCAAGGACTTACAAATAATCAGTTAATACAGATTTCCTAAAAAGTGCAGATTTTTAAAAGGGTGGCCATTATCATTGTGATCAATGTTACGAGCAGCATGCTATTCCATCTGGGTACAACAGGAATGTAATGATGACAATCAACTGAGTCGGAGAGCCTTTGATTATTAATAGCCTTTTATCCAAATCTAGCCCAAAATCCCAATGTGAGTATTCTGTGAATGTACCCATGTTGATGCCACTGTTACTATGGTTACAGACGAAAATCGTGACCTCATCCTTAAGGACAACAACAGCTTAGTGTTTGATTGCATCATATATCACGATGCAGACAGAGATTCTACTGGGGCCATAATGTCTCATCATCAAAGACATGTTAAATCATATAGCCTGTAAACACATGGTCCAAGGATTTTGATAGCATTATTCCAGCAATATCACAGCGGGAGACAGCAGAAATGGGCTTCACACATTGTGCCCATGTGGGGAATCGAACCCGGGTCTTCAGTGTGACGAGTGAACGCTTAAACCACTAGGCTCCCCCCCTCCCCCACAAAGGATTTTGAGTTAACAGTGTCATTGCATTCACAGCATCATGTGGACATACCTGATATATTGTCTTCAACGTTTCTAAACCATATGGGGCTGTGGGGTAGTTGAGTGGGTAAAGCGTTCGCTCGTCACGACGAAGACTCAGGTTCGATTCCCCACATGGGTACAATATGTGAAACCCATTTCTGGTGTCCCTTGCTGTAATATTGGTGGAATACTGCTAAAAACAGGGTAAAAAGTAAAACCATATTCACTCACTCTAAAACATATGCATTCATATTACTGAGCAGTTTAATTGTGTGATGGCAGATAAATCTTTATTGCTGAAGGTTTTGGACATACTTATTGCAACACATACCCCAAAACTAACAAGATGTTGACTTTGCAATAAGAATCTGACTGTAAAATATAAACAAATCACAGTACATCTGGCTTGTACATCGTAGAGTGAGTGAGTTTAGTTTTATGCTGCTTTTAGCAATATTCCAGCAATATCAAGGTGAGGGACACCAAAAATAGGCTTAACACATTGTACCCATGTGGGTAATTGAACCGTGGTCTTAGAACACAAACACAAACACACACACACAAACACAAACACAAACACAAACACAAACACAAACACAAACACAAACACAAACACACACACACACACACACACACACACACACACACACACACACACACACACACACACACACACACACACACAGAGCCCAAAAAACAATACAAAACAAAACAGAGGGAATGAACATTATGGTGCCATATTAACAATTACAAGTTAACTTATTAAGCGAATTTTCCACTTCCTCCTTACATATGAGGAGCTTGGTTTAGTACAGTACAAGTTTTTTGAATGAGAAATAAAATAAATAAGATAAAGATTAAAACAGGCTTACCCCATTCATGTTCATGCCCAAGTCAACATGTTCAGTTTGGAGGTGGGTTATGAGGAAATACCAAGGCACAATACACTGTGATCTATTATTCCCTGTTCAGGTGATAACACATTTACAATGAATACATGCATATCTATTTGCAAATATCATGTCATTGGTTATCTGATTCTGTTAGTTCTTCATTATGAAACGAACAACCCATAAATATAATAAACATAAAATGTAAGAGTCATGTTGCCTGTTTATTATGGTAACTTCCATGACATACATATTGTTTACAATACACACTGACGTGTGTTTCATTTGTATTGATTTTCTAAATAATTCAACATACAGTATTTGAACTAGATTAATGCTTCGTCTCTGAATACATATAACTTTGAGAGGAACAAATAATTCCCATAAATTTAAAAGGAGACCCAGTAAGGTGGGAGCTTCCGAAAATAAATCTGAGGAAATCTAGAGTTGCTTCATTTAATGTAGTCTGTCTCACAGTCCCTGAACCACACTATTCCCCTAGTGCCTTTCCATCCCTGCAATGCTAAAGTTCTAAATGAAGCAAGTCTAGATTCCCTCAGGTTCTGAATTTCCCATCTTACTGAGGCTCCTTTCCAATTTAAATGGGTTTATTTGTTACCATCAACATTATATTATATATTCAGAGACTAAGCGTTAGTCTACATTATGGCTTCAGTAATGCAGAAAGGACTAGGTGGAAGGGAAAATATTGCAGCTAGGTGACTGTGAAACGACATTGGAACATGTTTTGCTTGATCAGCTGTACCTCTAAAGCACTCAAGCTATGTACATCCTTTATTAATTCATTGTTGGAGAATGTTGAAGGTAAACACATAGGGCTAATCATGAGTCAAAAACACAACTTCCCTCCTTCCACTATCAGCCTACTGATTATTGTTATAATGTTAAAGTCATTTTACTGTGAATAACTTTTATAACCCCATTTAAATATCAGTAAATCAAAATGATTAGGTGTTGGATTTCAAATTTCAAGATTATTTTCAAAGAATTTCAAAACTTACACGTAACAGATGTTAGCTGACTGGTCGTCTTGTCTTGACCCCCTGACCTCTGACCTGTGACTGGAATGTGAAGTGCGATGGCAGTATGATGTATGTTCAGTGTAGATGTGGAAACTAACAGAGCAGGACAGCTGACCTAGTCTTTTATTTACCCGGCATTTATTCACTCACTAGGCCCATTGTCCCGTATTGTGTCACACTGTTCAGGCTGGCTGGCCAAGAAGGATGGAATATTTCACAGGTTAAAAAGAATGAGTTAAAGTAACGCTTAGTCTTTCAATATAAATAAATTTTGGTACAAACAAAATATTGCACCAGCGAGTTGGGAGATTCAGAACCTGAGGATATCTAGAGTAGTTTTATTTAGGGCTTAAGCATCGCAGAAAGGGCTGGGTGGATGGGTAAATAATGTTGATCTGGGACGAGGAATTGGTGTATTATTATTGGTTAAACTGCTGGGTATATTTGGTTTAGCAGTGCTTTGTTTCTGAAAATACTTGCCGAATATGCAATGGCTGACCATGCGACC